CCACTTACCTCGGTGATGAATTGGGACCCTGAGAGTTGTTAGATAAATAAACCCTTTCCTCCTCAAATTGCTTTTTATCATGATATTCCATCACAGCAACAGAAACCCTAAGACAGAGAAAATGGTACCAGCAGTAGAGTACTGCTGTACAGACCTGACCATGTTTTGGAGAGAGTTGTGGAAAGTTCTTGCCCAAAGGGGCAAAAAAATTGAGTGTTCAGAGCTTAATACACTACTATGAGAACTTAGTAGTGCAGAGGATGGAGGCAAGGTCTGACTTGTCAAGTTTCAGAGACAAGTTTGAGTCCCTTAAAGGCTCTATCAGGACCATTTAATATTTTGAATTAAGAACCTGGGTTCTGGCCAGGCATGCTGGCACAAATCTTTAATCCCAGCACTTGGAAAGCAGGCAGATCTCTGAGTTCCAGGCCAGCCTAGTCTACATAGTGAGTTCTGAACAGCCAGGGCTATGTAGAGAAGCCATCTCAAAAAGAAAAAAAATATTTCCAGGTGGTGGTGGTGGTATACTCCTTTAAACTCATTATTTAGGGAGAGAGGGACAGAGGCAGGAGGATCTCTGTGAGTTAGAGGTCAGCCTGATCTACAGAGCAAGTTTCAGGACAGCCAGGACTACATAGAAAAACCCAGTCTTGAAAACCAAAAAGTAAGAGAAAAATGAAATTGGGTTCTGGTTTGCTGGGGCTGAAAAATAAGCTATGATTAAAAAAACCAACCAGCATCACTGAGTCGAAATCTTATGGGATATGTTTCCTCAGATCAGCACAAACAGGCAAAGCTGTATGTACCTCATGCTGGCAACTGAACTTGGTACTGTGGAAGAGTCTCTCAGGTGGTAATGATTTTAAAGGTATGAAGGAGTCATGAAGTACAGCTGAGGCTTGGCACTATGAGAGGCCAGAAAAGCTACTAGTGATGGTGCAGCCTCAGTTGTAGAAGAAGTCCTAGGATTGAAGGGGTCATGGGGGGAAGCTGAGGCTCTGGCACCAGGTGGCAAGTCAAAGTCCCTGAAGAGAGGTCAGGAGAGGATATGGCTGAAGGTGCAGCAGAGATCCCAGCAGTTTGGAGACACCAGCACCAGGGGATGATTACCATAGACAGTAGTAGGGTGGAGCTATTCTGAATCTCGAATACAAGCTGTGTGCTGTAAAGGGCAAAGCCCAAGAAGAGCTACCCAATCTTTCTGTAGCCCCGAATATCAGGAGTCCCCCAGTGTCTAACACTGAGCTTTACACTGTTGGACTTTGGTTTTGCTATAATTCATCTGTGCCTGTGCCCTGGTTCTTCCCTCTTAAAATAAGAAAATATATAATTTGTTTTATTTTACAGGAAGACAGAGTTGATAGATTTGGGGATTTAAAGACAGATATAACAATCAAAGGAATTAAAACACATACCCAGATAAAAGAAAAACAAAACCTAAAAAGATAAAAGACACTAATCAATACAGAGACAGAAAAATGTTCCAATAAAACTAAATAAAAAGCAAACAAACTAATAACAAAGACATATATGTGAAGGGCCGCAACCACATTCTCCATTACAGGATGGCACTGGCATCCGGTTTCACTGCCAGGTGAACAAGATAATGCGCATGTAATTGGTAATTTTCCACTGCTGCGTCCCCGCCTACTCCCGAGGCGTCATCTGGGTTGATGGGCAGCGCACCAATCCAGGAGTGACACGTCCGAAGCGAGGACTGTTTCCTATATAAGGGATGGGTTCCCCTCATTCTGGGTCTCCGCTTTGGAAGCTTATGCTCTCTCTCTCAAGACGCATTAAAGCTTTTCTGCAGAAGGATCCTAAGTGTGCCGCGTCGTTCTTGCTGGCGAGACGGTAGAGCGGGACACATATACTTTACAAAAGATGATAGCACAAAACACTAGGGGTGGAAATAATTGCTTTAAAGGTGCTTAACAGGGGTAGAAGAGGTGGCTCAGCAGTTAACAGCATTTGCTGCTCTTACAGAGGACTAGGGTTCAATTCTCAGCACCTCCATGGCACCTAACCCTAGTTCCAGAAGATCTGGGCTCCATGGGCACCTGTATTCACACGGGGCATACACACATGTAAACAGACACACATATGCACAGAAATAAAAATAATGTGATTTTTAAAAGATATAAAATGGGGGTCAGGAAAATGACTCAGCTGATAAAAGCACTAGCTGCCAAGTGATTCTGATCCTGAGTTTGATCCCTGGTACTCCGATAGCAGCATAGAGCTGACTCATAAGCTGTCTTCTGCTCTCCATAAGCACACACACACACAGGTGCAGACACACACACTAAATAAAATATATAAAGCCTAAACAAAAGCTGGGCTGGCGCTGGCCACCTGTCTGTAATTCTAGCATAGACAGAAGCAGAGACAAAGAGTTCCCTGAACAAGCTAACTCTGGGTTCAACTGAAAGACCCTGCTTCAATGAACCAAGAGGAGAGCCACTGAGGAAAACTCCCAATTTCAACCTCGGGCCTCTATATGCAAGAACATGCATGTGGCTTAGGCACCCACACACACATTAACACTTATACACACACAAAGTATTTTTTAAAAGATAAAATATTTAGGAATTAACCAAGGATGTGAAAAACTTGCACTTTCACTGATGAAAGAAATTAAGATATGAACATATCCCGTGTCCATGCAACAAGACTTTAACAATTAAAAATGTCAATACCGCACGGTGGGGAGGGGGGCGCAGACAGTGGTGAACACCTTTAATCCCAGCACTCGGGAGGCAGGGGCAGGCAGATCTTTGTGAGTTCGAGGCCAGCCTGGTCTACAAGAGCTAGTTCCAGGACAGGCTCCAAAGCTACAGAGAAACCCTGTCTTGAAAAACCAAAAAAAAAAAAAAAAGTCAATACCACCCAAAATGATCTATAATTATAATTACATTTATGTACCCTATGTATATACAGCATTGTAACTTTTTCTTTTATTTCTTTGAAGGCTCTACCTATCTATACACATACATACATGTACACACACACACACACACACACACACACACACACATTCCTGTCTGGTCTAGAACTCTCTATCTAGACCTGACTGGCCTCAAACTCAGGGTGCTTAGATTTTGAAAGGTGTACACCACCAGGCCCGGCCTTGTATAGTTTATAACTCTTAAAGGCAGGGGGGTTTTGAGCTTAGCTGGCCTGAACCACATGTCTGTCCAATTTCAGGCTTCCTAAAGCTAAGGGCCAAGACCTATCTCAACCAGCTAAAAGTGGGGAGGGCATCTTACAATGGAATGGTGTGGCTGCTTCAATGAAGGTAGGGCTTCCCATTCCTTTCTACCTGGAGTGCTAGGATTTTGAATCAAAGGCTTCACATTTGCTAGGCAAGTATTCCACTAAACTACATTCAAAAAGAAAACATTTTTTGAGAACCAGGAAAAGTCAATTTTTATTTATTTATTTATTTACTTATTTTGGTTTTTTTCGAGACAGGGTTTCTCTGTGGCTTTGGAGCCTGTCCTGGAACTAGCTCTTGTAGACCAGACTGGTCTCGAACTCACAAAGATCCACCTGTCTCTGCCTCCCGAGTGCTGGGATTAAAGGCGTGCGCCACCACCACCCGGCGGAAAAATCAATTTTTAAAAATTTTCTTAAGTCAATTGAAGTTTTTAACTACTCTGCTCTAAAGAGTATAAAGGTAAGACAGATATAGTGGTGCATGACTTCTAATTCAAGAACTGAGCTCAAGACCAGCCTGATTCACACAGAATTCACAGATAGACAGGGCTACATAGAAATATGCTGTCTCAAACAAGCAAACAAACAAAAAAGTAAAAAGTGAAGTGGCTAGCTTGTAATTTATTATCAAACATACTACTAAAGCAAAAGCTTACAAATTTGTTTTTCCCTATCCAGTATTAGCTGGCAACTCAATATAACCCAACCTTGTTGCTGATTTTCAATATCTGGGACCATATTTTATACATCTCCTGAATTTATTCCACATGAAACATCTGATTATCATAGAATTATTTAGTATTCGCTGATGTTTGACAACAACCACTAGGGGTCACCAGCACTAAGCTTTCAATGTGGATTCAAGCAGCATTAGTCTAAACTTGATTTACAATTACTTTCCACGTGCCCTTTACTAAAACAAGGTTCAGTTATAAATAATTTCAGGGTATTCAAGTGATAGAGTGACATATAAGCAAATAATCTATACACACACACAGTATATGTGTATATATATTATGAATATCATACAGGGGCTGAAAAAATGGTTCAATGGCTAAGAGAGTTTTGTCATGCAACAGTGAAAACTAGAGTTCAAGCCGGGCAGTGGTGGCACACATCTTTATCCCAGCACTTGGGAGGCAGAGGCAGGTGGATCTCTGTGAGTTCGAGGCCAACCTGGTCTACAAGAGGAAAGAAAAAGAAAGAAAGAAAGAAAGAAAGAAAGAAAGAAAGAGAGAGAGAGAGAGAGAGAGAGAGAGAGAGAGAGAGAGAGAGAGAGAAGGAAGAGAAGAGAAGAGAAGAGAAGAGAAGAGAAGAGAAGAGAAGAGAAGAGAAGAGAAGAGAAAAGAAAAAACTAGAGTTCAAATCTAATGCCCATGTTACAAGTCAGGCAGCCTGTGCATTCCTGTAATCCCAGCTTCAAGGGCGGCGCAGAGACAGGAAGATTACTGGGACTTGCTGGCTTTCAGTCTAGCTGAGAAAACCCAAGGTTTCAGAAAAGACTCTGCGCCAAGGAATAGTTGGAGACAGAGGAGGACACCTGACACCCTCTTCTGGCATCTGAATGTACACACACATGGGTGCACACACATACAATAAATAATCATACAAATGGTTCAACACTTAGGCGGCTGGTTGTGCTGGTACATATCAGTAAGATATGCTGAAGAAGTTAGATGACCTAGAGGAGAGTTACTAGGTCAAGGCCAGCCTGGGCTACACACTTACACACAGAGAGAGAGAGAGAGAGAGAGAGAGAGAGAGAGAGAGAGAGGCAGACACACACACACAGAGAGAGAGAGAGAGAGAGAGAGGCAGACACACACACACAGAGAGAGAGAGAGAGAGATGCTTTAATTAGAAGGTTCACAATTGAGTTGAGATGTTTTCTAAAACCCACACAAAAAATATTTATCCCATAATTCAGTGTGTTGAGGGAAAATATATAAAACTTTGTATAATCAATCACCGTGTAATAAAACCCAGTGTCCAACTCAAAGGGTGGGTACTCTATTTTTACCTGTACACCAAAAAAAAAACATGCGAACAAAATCTTGCATGCAGTAGTTACATTTATTTTCCAATGTTATCAATGGGAAAGAATTCCGGGGAAAAAAGAAACACTAAGAAAAGACATACAAAGGCAAGTAAAACTTGAATCTATTTTTTTTAACCCTTCTATTTACAACAGGGGTTATAAGCAGGTGGGTCTCTGTGAGATAGAGGTCAGCCTGGTCTACAAAGTGAGTTCCAGGACAGCTAGGGCTACATAGAGAAACCCTGTCTCAAAATAGATAGATAGATAGATAGATAGATAGATAGATAGATAGATAGATAGATAGATAGACAGACAGACGAATAAACAATGTTTAATGAATAATCTAAACATCAATATCAAAACATCAAAGTACCATCAGACCCAAAATTCCAACTACATTTTACATGACTATAGCTGGTTGAAGAATGAATTCTTTCTCTTTTTGAGGCAGGATTTCACTCTTGTAGCCCTGGCTGTTCTCAAACAAGGTAACAGAGTAAAAACATATTCACTCTGCCTAGTCATTCCTCAGCAGGCTAAGACGAAGTATCCTGAGTTCAAGGACAGTCTAGGATATATAAGACTCCAACAAACATACACACAAAAGGAGAGATTAACTTCAAATTTTATAATAGACAGTCAATGAAGAAGTAAGTGGGCCATGGTGTATCCTGCCGTCACACTAGGGAGGATGAGCCATGAGACTGCCAGAAATATGAAGTCTAAACTAAATAGTACCAAGCTAGCCAGAGCTAGAAATTCTGCAAAAGTGTCTCTCACTTGACAGACAACCAATCACAACTACAGGTATTTCAAGATACCTAGGCTTTAAGTGTCTAAAATCCCATGACCTCTTTCCACATAGAATGTCAAAAAAAAAAAAAGTTTAAGTTTACTCCTCACAAGAAAATGTAAGAATTTAAAACTTAATAAAGTCACTGTCTTAATTACTTTTCTATTACTGTGATAAGACACCATAACCAAGGCAACTTATTAAACAAAGTATTAATTCACACTTATGGTTTCAGAGGGTTGGAGAACATAAGGGAGCAAAGGAATGGGAGCAGGAACAGCTGAGAGCTTACATTTTGAACCGAAAGTAGGGAGCACACTGGCGAGTCTTTTAAAACCTCGAAGCCTGAGCCCCCAAAGCCACGTCTACTGATCCTTCCCAAACAGTTTCACCAACTGAGGGTGTGAGTTTATGGGAGGCTACTCTATTCAAACCACCACAATCACTTAATTCTTATTGTGAGGGGATAGTTTCAAAATACCTCAAGAAAAAAAAAATAACCACTAATTAAAACCACTGAAAAACAAACTTTTATGAAGTGCACTGTTCTTACTGAACATGTACCACTCCTTCAAGAATAACAAACTTAATCATTTTAACAACCATTTAGAAAAGTCCTACAAGACGTATCTTTTTATCCAACTCATTTTTTAGTTGCATTTATTTATTTCCTATATATGAGAGAGAGTGCACAAGCAGTACAAGACAGCTGTGGTAGTCAGAGGACAACCTGAGGGAGTTGGTTCGCGCCTTCTACCATGCAGAACCTAGAGATCAAACTCAGGTTAGCAAGTAACTTTACCCCATCTAACCAGTCCTTTCTAACTATCTCAGACTGCTTAAAAATTAATTTTTATTTTATGAATCTTTTGGGGGGGTGTAAACCCAGAAACTACTTCAGCAGCCCTTATCTTTTTTTCTCTGGTTTTGCTTTGTTTTGTTTTGAAGGCAACATCTCTTTATTGTCTCAGTTCGCACCTGGCCCAGCAGTGGCTCCATCAGCAGCCTCTGGTCCAGGGGAGATCTTGGTGGTGGTCTCTGGACAGTCTGTGTGAAGGGGGGAGGGGGGAAGGAGGGGAATATCAGCAGAGGCCATGAGTGCTTCAGGACTGTGTGAGTAACAGAACTGGTCCACTCGCTGACAGGTGCCCTCCTTGAATTATTTGCATGGAAATGTCTTCAAGCAGCTGCCCACTGGGCTGGGTCCTCAGCTGGCTCCTTCCACTTATTCTGTAGCAACCTTCACTTAACTCTCCCCCAGATCTTTACTTGCTGCCTTGCCTCCTGGCTGGGCACGGGGTTGGGTACCCCAGGTGGCTTCTGAATTGGTCTGGAAGTGCTTGAGTCCTTGCTGGCTGGAGCTGGGGTTGGAGTCTTCCCAGATGTTGAAGTTGGCCTTCAGTCTGGGTTTTACAGAATTTGGAATGCTGAACTGGTTTCTGACAGCCACTCCCATTTCAAGTGGACAGTCTTCCCAACATGATGTTCCAGAGAGCTGGCAGAGTGGGTAGGGTCAGGGGAGGCATCTATCTTTCCTACATTCTTACAGACATGGGAGAGAAAGATTCAGAAGGCAGTGTGAAGGAAAGCTGACCAAAGCTGCAGACAGCAGTGTGTGTTGCAGTGGAAGGTGCTGCTTAGTTGGTCCAGTACATAGAAAGGGACATCAGGAAGTTCCTCACCACCAACACTCAGAACACCTTGAATCTGCTTGGAGGTATAAACAAATGCAGCCAGGGTACAGTGGCCACTGTCTAGGTCATGGGTGGGCTCTGCCCACATGAGGCATCCAAGCTGGTGTTGCTGTCCACAGTGAGTCACACTCAGGTCACTGGAGAACCAGAGGCCACAGAAAACTTGACCTTGCCAACAGGATCTCCCAACACTTTGCCAAGGCATTGCAGGTAGAAGGCTCTGCAACCACACACTGGAACACCAGGCCCTGCTTGCTGAGGACTTAACCTAGGCCTGGCCTGTGAAAATGAGCACATAAAACGAGACACAGAAGTCAGCGCTGATGCTGAGTGGCGGCACCATGAACCATTGGTACAAGTTGGCATGCACATGCACGCTATGTAGAACAATTCTCAGGGCCATTTCATTGCAGGCCCAGCTCTTGAGGGCCATGTATGGCCCCATACTTGCAATAGCACATCTCTCTGCTGTTCCTTGACAATACTACCATGTCCATGCAGGTGGCACACAGAAATCCTCCACTCACAGCCTGCACTGCTGCATCCAGGAAGGGGGTGAGGCTGCCACAGGGATCCAAGTAAATAACATCAGAACACTCAGATGCCTTTTGTTGTTGGTACATCAGCATCTGGGCATCTACCTAGCTGGGCTATACAAGACGTGCCACACCACTGAGCTGTACATTTAGGCCCTACAGTCCAAGCAGAAGAATCATTGGCAAGCAGAGACTGGAGGCCAGGAACTTCCAGGACAAATCAGATGGAGCACAGACCAGAAGCTGACAGGCCTTTCAGTACTTCGTAGTCCTTCCTTGCAGATCTCACCACCTGCAGCAGTCAGAGGCTAGTTAGTCTTCTGGGGCCAGGGTTTCCTTCTCTTTCTGTTCAGCCTTTTTCTCCTCTTGCTCAGACAAGTTTTCGGTCACTTTTTGCAAGTCCTTTTTTTCTTGGCACCTTGATCTGGATTCCCTTGGCCTGATGAATTTGAGCAAACTCAGTGATCACAGCACATCTCTCTGCTCACAGGACCCAACAAGTCGCTTCCCACATTAAGTTGAATGGCCATGTTGGCAGACAGGGTGGCCTGGCCACGTGACTCTGCTTTCTCTTTTTAAAAGAGTTTCTTACTAATGTCCAATGTCCAGGATGGCATTGAATTTGAGATATTCCTACTGCAACCTCCAGAGAATTAAAATTATAGGTACATGCCAGTGGTGGCACACACCTATAACCCCAGCACTCAGGAGGCAGAGCACTAAGGAGGCAGAGGCAGGCAGATCTCTGTAGTTCAAGGCCAGCCTGGTCTACAAAGCAAGTTCCAGGACAGTAGACTATTACACAGTAGCTGGAGAGATGGCTCAGCGGTTAAGAGCACTGACTGCCCTTCCAGAGGACCCGGGTTCAATTCTCAGCACCCACATGGCAGCTCACAACTGTCTAAAAATCCAGTTCCAGGGAATCTGCACCTTCACACCAATGCACATAAGAAATATTAAAAAAAAAAAAAAGACTATTACACAGAGAAACCCTGTCATGAAAAACAAGACAGAACAAAAAACAACTACCATTTGATCCAACAATCCTACCTCCTGGCTTAATCCAGAACTGAAAACATAGTCTCAGAATCTACACAAATTCACAAAGGCTAAGAAGTAGAAGCCAAATGTCTATCAACAGATTAAAAGACAAGCAAAAAAATTCATCTCTCTCTCTTCTCTCTCTCTCTCACACACACACACACACACAAACACACACACACACACACACACACACACACACACACACACACACACAAATATTATTCCAGTATGGTAGCACAGGTCTGTGATCCTGGCACTTGCAAAGAAAGAGAATCCAAAGCTCAAGATCATCCTCAGCTACATAGTCAATTCAAGGCCAACCTGGAATACATGAGAAATTGTCAGTCACACACATGTGTGCAAAGCACGGAGTGAGGGAGGTAGGGAATACAGTAATAAAAGAAAATTTTGGCATATGATACAACACATGGTTGAACCTTGAGGACAGTATAAGAGGGGGAGTGACAAGAAAAATACCATTCCACTTGTATGATGACCCAGCACATTAAAAGATCATTCAGAAACAGAAAGTAGAATGAGGGATAGCAGGAGCTGGGAAAAGAGGAAACATTCTAGGAACTGGTCGTGTAACAAGATGAAATACTTAACACTAAATGTACACTGAACTGTGCATTTAGAATTGTGGCGAATTTTAACAGGCTACAGGAACATATGCATATAATCCCATTCTTAGAGATACAAGGAAATAATGAGTTCAATACCAAATTGAGCTTCATGGACAGACCAGACCCTGCCTGAGAGAGGAAAATCAAACAGTAACAATGATTCTTCTAAGGCGAGAATGTTTGGACTTCTGAGTAACTCATAACAAAACATGTAATTTTCCTGCCTTTTATTATAAAACAATTATTTCACATTAGAAATAATTTCAACTTTACTTAATATTTATCTTAAAAATTACCTCTATTATTATCCTTAATATTAGCCCTCAACAATCAAATTATTATTACCTGACATGAACATTAAGTGCAAATGCAAACTGATGCAAGCAACAGTAACGATAAAGAAGATCTGCAGGGCAGATAATCCACTGCTGGGAATCTAGCATAGACTCAGACTTCTTACATATTTTGTGAAGAGTTTCCATTACCTGACAACTTACAGTCATTAGAAGTTTCGAAAGTTAAGAGTGAAATCATCTTCCTGGAAAATTAAAAATAAATCAGACCCATCTATCCAAAATGCTATCCCTTCAGAAACTACTTGTTGGTATTAAAGTATCTGGATACTATTTAACATTGTTCCTAGGATCAAGATGATTCCAAAAAGTCATTTTAAAAAATTACTCAATTTTAGAACTCTAATACTCTTCTTTTAGGAATTACAGAAAATCAAGAGAAGAAATAAGATACTGATCCAAGAACACTAACCTGGACATCTAGACAGATATATATTCGAATCCCTATTTATCACTAACTAGCTATAAATGCCCACTAGCCTTTCTTGGCTTCTTCACTTGTTAAATGTGAAAACTGAATTGAATGTCTTTTAAAATATGTTAGCAACATGCCTGTCCCGAGTTTGGTACGTGAATCCATGGTGGAAGGAGAGAACCAACTCCCAGATTGTCTTTTATCGGTCTCACACACACATACAAACACACACACCACTCACGATAGCACATGCATGAATACATACATAAACAAATAAATATACATAAAAATCTAATGATATGCTAACTAAATTCAATTTCTACAATTATTTTAGGATTATGTTGTGACATTCCCAATGCTAAAATGGTTAATTCATTTATACACATTAAAATCAAAACAAATCTTTTCAAAATGTCTTAATACCACCCACCCATCTTGACAGTATACAACTTAAAAGCAAGGAAGACAGAGCTCAGCAAATAGAGTTATCTGTGAGCAGGTCTGATCCCAAGATTCCAAGAGCAGGAGAGTTGTCCTTTGACAGATACTGACATACATACACACCCCTGTACACGCATGTACAGTAAGTAAATTTAAATATATATAAGACTCTATGCCTGTGTGAGTATCAATCTTTTTTCTTTAGTTTTTTTGGGGCAGGGTTTCTCTCTGTAGCCCTGACCGTCCTGGAACTTGCCTTTGTAGACCAGAGCCTCAAACTCTACGATCTACCTATCTCTGCCTCCCAAGTGATGGCATTAAAAGAGGACACCAACATGCCCTGACATTAAATATTTCTCAAAAAAAGAAAAACATAAAACTTGAAAGAATTACATTCTACAGCTTTCTCTTTAGAAGTATTAATTCATTAAAGAAGAAGAAAATCAAACATAATCATAGATGCCTCTAATCCCAGACTAAAGCAGAAAGATCAAAAGGCAACCAAATATGGTGAGAGGGGCTGTCTCAAAAGACAAAAAAGTCACACCTGGTGTTAGAGGCCCCTAACTACCTACCGACTAAAGAGGTGCTGCAGGATGATCAGAGTTTAGACCTTTTAGGGCTTCACAAAGGTTAACCTTAGTGACACCCTATCTCAAAACAAGAAAGACTGAAATAAAGCTCAATGGAAGGGCACTTCTCAGCATGAGGTCCTAGATTCAATCCCCAGCATCAAAAAGGAGGTCAAAGGAAAGAAGGAGAAAGGAACAGAAGGGAGAGGGGAACTAATCACTGTTTGTTTTTGTTTTCTTAAATGAAAGTGAATCTAACAGTCACAGTGATATATTAACCTATCTCCCTTCTGGAATGATTTATTTATTGTCCAGCTGTTGGGAGTGGTACAGGAAAGCAAACAGCTCTCAGCTGTCAGCACTCTTCCTTCAGGAATTGCCTGGTTCTCAACTGAGCTGCCTCCCTAAGTCACCTTCACCTGATGATTACTCAAAACACGGACTTAAGGGCATAGCCCTTGATTACAAATTAGGACATCTCTAAATCTATGCCAACTGCAAGTTCTGAAATGCGGCCAACTGAACTTTTTGCCCATCCTGTATTACAGCCAAACGGCCCCCCACACACACACACACACACGCGCGCCAAATAGTATCTCAGTTAGCTATGGTAACAGAAGATGCCCAATTTGTAACCACTGGTGAAAATGGTTTAAGAAAGCAGACTTTAAAATGAAGTGAGGTCACCAACAACCTGGCATCCCGCTGCCAATCGCCATCAATGGTGGTGATGGTACAAAAGCAAAAGCAGAAATATAACCAATAAAACTTCCCCATGTGGTAACCCAAGTATGCCAGTAGAAGACAAAAGCTGACAACTCCTTTTGGTAAATGACTTTTGTTTCAGTCCTCTTACTGTTTTCGTTTTATCTCTTTAAATAGTAAGGAGGAAGAAGAGCTGGAGAGATGGCTCAGCAGTTAAGAGCATTTGCTTCCCAAGTTCAGTTCACATTACCCACCTATGGTGGCTCTATAGCTCTAGCTCCCCAAGAGGACAATAATTTTTTTTTAATATTTATTTATTTACTATGTATACAATATTCTGTCTGTGTGTATGCCTGCAGGCCAGAAGAGGGCACCAGACCCCATTACAGATGGTTGTGAGCCACCATGTGGTTGCTGGGAATTGAACTCAGGACCTTTGGAAGAGCAAGCAATGCTCTTAACCTCTGAGCCATCTCTCCAGCCCCGAGGACAATAAATTTTTAAAAAATTAGTTACTAAAAATCCAAGCAGGTCCTAGAATGAGTTTGGTTTGCAAGCCACGTTTTGCCAACCTCTTCTCTAGAAAAAGAAAAATATAAAAGCATTTTTGAAGGATGAGGGAAACAGTAATTGCAGAGAACCATGAAAAATTAGTTTTGTAAAAGACAATCCATTAGAAAAAAAAAAGTCACAAGAAGTGAAAGTAAAAGGCCAGAAAATTCTTCAGTTACTTTTCAGATACTTCTCTCCTATAACAAGAAGACACCAAAGACAGCCAGGATCAGAATAGTAAGAAGAGTAGCAGACCAAAATTAAATCAAAATTTAATCCCAACTCCAATCAAAATTAAATTCTCAACTTGGGAAGATCTGTTAAACCAAGGTTAAGATTCACATGGGGAAGGGGAAGTAACTGGAAACTTGAAAAATGGACGAAGCATGTGGGATGATTAACACGAAACTCTTCCAGCCCCAGTATATGTCTTCTTTTTCCTGCATGCTGTGTTTTGACATCTTAAAACCTTCCTGGTTAGGGAGACTGGCCCTCTCAGAACTAGCCAATTCTTACAAGACTTAGTAGGGAGCCTGCCTTTCTTGCTACACAAACTATACAGTCCTCATTTTTGGCCTGTAATTCCCAGGGCCTGACAACCAGGCCTTAATCCTGCTAGAGCAAGAAATCGGTTAACCCATTTTGTAGAACCTCCCCCAAATTATTCAAACCAGTCCCAACCTATGCCCTTCTATGAAAAAACCACAACCATCAGATGGTGGTGGTGGCGCATGCCTTTAATCCCAGCACTCGGGAGGCAGAGGCCGGTGGATCTCTGTGAGTTCGAGGTCAGCCTGGTCTACAGAGGGAGTTCTAGGATAGCCAGGGCTACTCAGAGAAACACTGTCTCGAAAAACAAAACAAAACAAAACAAACCCACAAACGTTCTGACCTAAACCTTTGCCCTCCCTTTCAATCCTTTGCCTCTTAACTATCCTGAAGAACCTTGAAAAGCACTTCAGTACGTTGGGCCTTAAAATAAACTTTTAAACTCTCCTATTATCTCAGGTGGCCTCAC